TCTTTGATTGCCTATAAAAAAGAACAATAATTTTTTTGTAACTTAGTGTTTTGTATTTTTAAAATTAATTAATTTGTTTTTGTTTTCAACATTCACTTCCATAAGCTTTTGAGTTTTAAATTTTCTCTCCCTCCCTCCCCACCTCCCTCCCCAAGACAGCATGGAATCTGATATAGGCTCTACATATACATTCCTATTAAACATATTTTCACATTTTCACATTTCACATGTTGTAAAGAAGAATTCTAACCAATAGAAGGAACCGCAAGAAAGAAGAAACAAAACAAAACATAAGAAAAAAAGAGCAAATAGTATGCTTCGATTTGCATTCAGACTCCATAGTTCTTTCTCTGAAGGTGGATAGCATTTTCCATCATGAGCCTTTTGGACATGTCTTAGATCCTTGCATTGCTGAGAAGAGCTAAGTCTATCAAAGTTAGTCATCACACAATGTGGCTGTTACTATGTGCAATGTTAGAACAATAATTTTTGTACCTCCTATTTCATAGGGTTGTTGTGAGGAGCTGAGTCATACACCTTAAAGACACTATAGAAATGTGAATTATCTATCACAAAGAGATATTCGTGGCATAGTAGATAGAAGGCTCATCATGGAGTAGGAAAGACTTGGGTTACATCTGGTTTGTGATCCTGGGAGTCTCCTACAAAAAAGTACTGTTCTTGGTGTTGCTGGTAATCTCCCCATGTTCCCCCTTCCCTTAATTATTTTGTATATAGTTTGTATTTACTTTTCTGGAAAAAGTACGTGTTTCTCCCCGAAATAATTTAAGCTCATCAAGGGGGAAAGGGCTGTTAGGTTTTTGCCTTTGTTATCTCTAGCACCTAGAACAGTGCATAAAAAATGCTTATTGATTTAATTTAACTTAACCTCGCAATGCCCCATGGAACTCTATGTGAAGGGAGTCTCCAGACTGAGAGTTCCCTAGATCAATGAAATCACAAGCCTTTATCAATTATGTTGTTCAGTCATTTTTCAATCATATCCAACTCTTCATGACCCCATTTGGGGTTTTCTTGGCAAAGATACTGGAATGGTTTGCCATTTCCTTCTCTAGTTCATTTTACAGATGAGGAAACTGAGGCAAACAGGGCAAAGCAAGTTGTCCAGAGTCACATGGCTAATAAATGTCTGAGGCCAGATTTGAACTCAGGAAGATGAGTCTTCCTAACTTCAGGCTGGGCACTCTATCTACTTTGATACCTAGCCTAGGACAACTATAATACAGGATAAAGTGTCACAGGCAAAGGAAACATCCAAACAAAGTACTCTAGGAATATTTGAAAGGAGAGAATGCTTCCAGTTGGAGAAGAAAGTGGGGGATAAGAGAAGGCTTCAAGAAAAGAGACATTCCTCAGTATTTTTTTTAGAAGAGATTAATCTTGTCACTTTGGATCCTATACTAAATTTGACATACAAATACATCTTATTTGAAAAGCCACTAAACCCCACAACTATTAAATGCCTTAAATGTGCTATCACAGAACTCAGAAAAGATTGCTGATCCCTTTCCCCTAGGAGAGGCCTCTGAGGCATCTGGCATTGTTCTGTTTTGTAGCCACAGTGCTTACTTGGTGATGTGAGTTATGTTTTTTGGTGTCATTTTTTTTTTTAGTTTGATCTCCATGGAAAGTGAACTCTTTCTCATCAACTGAGTAGTTAAACTTACTATGTGTTCCGACAAAAGTAATCTGGAACAAAAAACTTTTTCGTTTGAAGAATGCAGATTACAGATGATAGAAACAAATGCAATCTTATTTTTCTTGATTAAAAACAACTTCATTATACTTCCGGGAATTTCAAAATGATTATCTGGTAGTCCGCCCTGTTTTTCCAGCAGATGGCAATAACCCATAATGGGTGAGCAGGATGAATGGAATGTACACAACACTGTGTAGGGTGTGAACATTAATAGGGCTGTGAGCTTGCAATGCAGCATTATGAAAAAAAACTGAGTCTCGGGAGGAGCAGAGAATAAATAATACATGGTTAAATCTGGCAGGCTAGGAACTAACTCCAACTCCAGAAAACAGGGATCATAATTCATCTTTAACCAATTAGTGCAAATTTGAAGTAAAGAAAAAAAAACAAATTGGATAATCAATTTGTTGAAGTGGGTAGAAATAGGCTGCTTTCTGTTTTCATAATCATAAACTGTAGAGCAGCTGATGTTCAAGATGAAAAGCTGTTGATATTCTAGTAGAATGAGTCAAATTCATCAGCAAAAAGCCATCTTATGTGGATAAGAAGAGCCAGAAGGTTAAAAGAGATCTCCTTAGCAACTGAGAGAAAAAAAGAACTCTTTAAAAACTGATAAAACCTGCAGGATTTTTTTCCCATTCCATTTTAGGATGAATTGGCAGGAATTCTATAGGGAAACTTTTCAATTTTCCTCCCCAAATTTTCCACTTTCATTTGTATGTGACAACTCTAATTAAAAGTGTCTGTTTGCTTTTGGTGTTTAGCTCAATGATTTTAGCTCAATACTATATACCATCTTGCACAAATAACTCATTATAATTGTAACCTTTGGCCCACATAACTGCAGAAAAGCAACTCTGGACCCAAACTTAATCTTGAAGGTTTCTCAACCAGTAATACTTTATATTGCTCACATTTGCCCTTATTCAGAAATCCTTCTTAGAACACTAGAATCCAGCTCATTTCTAACTCTCCTGTAGGGATGTTAATTCTCTACCAGCAAATGTATTCCTGACAATTTGAACACAAAGCATATTATGAAAAGAAACAAGACTTGTATCTAAGTCCAGTTAACAAAGGCATAGTGCTGGTTGCCTGTCTCTCCAACGTTACACACACACACACACACACACACACACACACACACACACACACTCCAAAAAGGGACAAGCCAGTCCCATCAGTAGAACTGGCCATCCCGTCTCCTGGCCTGCCTCCTCTGGACTGCTTGCTTTCCTGCCCAGCTCACCAGACTGAGTACTCACTTGCTCCTCTGTCACCTGCATGCTGCCTGGCACTGACAGGCAGACAATTGGGGCTCCCACATTCTGTTTGGCTCCTCAGTCCTTGGTCAGCCTACTTGGCTGATTCTGTATTTCCAGTTGGTGTGATGATCCCAGAAACCCTTACCTTGCCTGAGTCGAGTCAACATGCATGCATCAAGCACCTCCTATGTGCCAGGCACCATGCTAAGGGCAGAGTGTGGCTGGCCTTCCATCCAGCCACCTTGATGCTTTGGGTCTATGAGTTTATGGGTAAGTGAACCCTTCCTTCTTGGTGCATGTGTGAATCATCAATATAGTCCAAGGCAAAGTTTTAGTAAGCATAAATAAATACCTTTTTTTTGGTACTTGAAGTACATTTTAAAATATATATCTTTCTAACAACTAAAGTTCTTCTTCTTTCTATTTACTCTTATCTGGAGTTAGGAAGACCTGAGTTTAAATCTAGCCCCAGACACTTACTAACTGTGCGACCCTAGACAAGTCCCTTAACCTCCACCTGCCTCAGTTTCCTCAACTATAAAATGGGGATAATAATGGCCCCTCCCTCTCAGTGTTGTTGTGAGGATCAAATAAAATAATATTTCTAAAGCACTCAGTGCAGTGCCTGACACATAGGAGGTGCTATGTAAATGCTTATTCCCTTCCCTCTAGAAATGGCCACGCTGCCCTTCCTAAATAAGACAAGAACTAAAAACATGAACAGGATCAAATGTGATTTCTTCTGTACTACCATTTTCTTCCCCAGACTAAAATAAGTACAACAGCTAGCCTAACCAGATTTTGAAAAATAGTAGTGTTCTCAGGCGGAGAGCTCTGATTTTGTTCAGAACTCAAAGGAAAGTTTGATCATCATCATCATCATCTTCTTCTCATCTTCCTCCTCCTCTTCCTCTTGCTCCCCCTTTAAAAAGGGAGCTGATCATAGCACACTTTTATAATGTATTTAAGGAAAAAGCCTTGCAACTTCTTAGGGCTTTCTCTGTGTCTGTCTGTCTTTTGGGTGGAAGTGTTGAGGTAACCGGAGACTGCAGAAAGATCAATTGCTCTTTCAAAAATAATCAAAACAAAGAAGACACATGCGGGTGTGAATGGTCCTTGGATTCAGGATCCTCAATGTTTCCTGGACTATTTGTTCCATAAAGGGGGCTCCAAAAGAAATGTCCTGGGGATCTACTGGGAGAATGGTTACCCACTGATCCCAGTGATGCTTTTATGGAATACTCCTGAACTCTCCTATTTTCAGCCATCCCAGGCACATAAGCTTTAAATCGAAGAAACAGAACTGATTAAAAAAAAAAGGAAAGAACAGACAAAATATGTGAAATGATTTCTAATTATTTCTAAAGCAGATCTTTGTCTACTCCATATGAATCCTAAATAATTTTATTTTATCTTTTTTTTTCTTCCTTGAAAGGGCCCTGGCTTTTTCTTCAGTATAAGATTAATTCATTTTTATGCTGCACTTGTCAGTGTTCCTGGTTGCTCCAACTGCTAGTTCTTTCTCCTCCAGATTAACTTCATTTACTCTGTATTTATCTTGTGGGTTCATATTGTCTTGCCCATTAGAATGTAAGCTCCCTGGGAGCAGGAGCTGGGTTCTGTTTTGGTTTTTTGGCCTTTCTTTGCATCTTCAATGCTTAGCACAGTACTTGGCCACAGTGAGCAAGCACTTAAATGCTGACTGACTATGTTGTTCAGTCATTTTCAGTCATGGCTGACTCTTCGTAACCCCATTTGGGGTTTTCTTGGCAGAGATACAGGAGTGGTTTGCCATTTCCTTTTCCAGCTCATTTTACAGATGAGGAAACTGAGGCAAACAGGGTGAAGTGACTTGCCCAAGGTCACACAGCTATAAGTGTCTGAGGCTGGATTTGAACTAATGAAGTGGAGTCTTCCTGACTCCAGGCCCCCTGACTAAAAAGGACCAGAAATCCTGTATTTCCCTAAGCAGTGGGGAAGCCATGATCAATCTGCTACTGCTCAGTTTTACTTACTTTATATTGGAGGGAGTGGAAGTCTTTAGTATGTAAAATTTCATCACATGTCCGTGCAAGAGAGTTAACATTTCCTCTAAAAGCAGATTCTTCTACAAGCCATTTCCCTTCTTACTTCTTCCTTTCTTGTACAGTTGAAACAGGAAGCTTTGCTGCAAGATGGGAACAGAAATAGACGATTCTTGGCTTCGAGGGAATCCAGTCAGCAGAACCATTCAGAGACTCTTCACCAGGAAGGAGCATTACGACCAGGCTCCAATGTGGCTCATGGAAACCAACGACTAGGAGCTCACTTCACACCTGGACACGGGAACTCAGACTGGGATTCAAATGCTGATTCTGACACTAACTCCCTTTGTTATCTTTAGTCTACTGGGTAGCCCCTAAGCTTCCCTCTGGGAAAGTGGAGAGGAAATAATACTCACTCCCCAAACTCAAAGGGACGTTAGATTATTTCACTTGAAGATGAGAGAAGGTATTATTATGTTATGTTAAATGATGTTGTTTACTAAGTCAAGAATAGAAAACTATCTCTCTTTCTTGGCAAGCTTGAGGGCCTCTGGAAATGTGGATTCCTGCTAAAAAGGACTATTAACATATTTTTTTAAAAAAACTTTAATAGACACTATTCTGACTTCTGTACTTTCTATTTTTGTCTCTTTAAACATTTCCTTTGAAAAAAAAAAACCCAACAGCTTGACCATGATTTTCGCTGTGTAGGGAACTCCTGGTGATGAATTTCCTCTCCCAATGCTGATCAGCCCCTTCTCTGCACCATTTAGTCTTAGAGAATTGTCTTGGGCAATGAGGAGGGAGATAAAGTGATTTACCCATGGTCATACAATCAGTATGGGTCAGAGACAAAACTTGAACCCAGGTTGTCCTGATTCCAGTGCTATATTATCTATTACAGAGGCAGTTAGGTGGCACAGCAGATAGAGTGGCAGGCCTGTAGTTAGGAAGACTCATCTTCCTCAGTTCAAATCTGGCCTCAGACATTTACTAGCTGTGTGACCCTGGGCAAGTCACTTCACCCTGCTTGTTTCAGTTTCCTCATCTGAAAAATGAGCTGGAGAAGGAAATGGTAACCCATTCCTGTGTCTTTGCCAAGAAAACCCCAAATGGGGTTATTAAGAGTCAGACACGACTGATTATCTCTTACATCTTTGCTATATAAGTCTAAAATTACTCATTACACAAACAGTAGACATTTCATATGGGAGAAAAAAGGCACATACATTTCCTGAGATTAGAAAGTGGGTTCAGATATACATTGAATAGATTTTAGAAGCAGATGGCAACTTAACACATTTAATCAAATCAAAATCTGTTTTGTTATATTTATATTCATAATTTTTCATATAAGCCAGGGAGACCTTATTCTATGGTGGAGACTCAGTGACTATAGTAAACTTAAGGATACAAGATCATAAATTTAGAGCCAGAAGAAATCTGGAGATGATCTAGTCTAGCCCCTTCATCTTACACATGAGGAAGTAGAAGTTCAGAGAAGTTATGGGACTTGCACACATAGACTGTAAATGGCAGAGCTCCTCTGTCTGACACAATATCTCCTTTTCATTGCACCATGCTGTCCTTGCTTTATTTCAGAAAAAGGAACAAAACTGCCGCCCGTGTTCCATTGCAGTAGCTATGAATACGACATAGGCAGGCCCAGTTATAAGGGAGGCATTTTGTTCATTATAGATAAATGACACGGATGGAAACTGCAAATTCACTAGTATATGGACACTCCCTTGTAGGTCAACAAGCATTGTATTTCCTATGTTGATTTACTATAGGAGAACTAAGGTCATCCAAAGGAAGAGAAACCAGTTTGACAGAAAGTGTGCAATCACACTTTAACAGATTGATTAATAGGAGACAAAATACACTCTGCTAGAAACTATTTGAGGAGTAGGGCTGTGGAGCAACCTGTGATTTGATGGAGAAATGTAATCATAGGCAAGGTCTCTCTTGATCTTCAAATAAATCATTTGAACTTCATGTTTTCTCTGCTTTGTTGTTATAAGTGTGCATGTGTGGAACTCCTAGGAGACCAAGATAATATGCCTTGCTAGAAAGAATGTTGATAACTCTTCTACAGTACACGAGGTCCAATAATACAAGAAATATGAAGACTACAACCCTGAAGGAAACAGGCAGTGATAGAATTGATGAGTGTGTGTATATAGAGATATGTGTATATACATATATCTCCGTATACATATAGATATTTATATTGGAATATAAAGCTATAGGAAATTATAGGAGTTACTGATTACAGATAGAGTCAAATAGCTAAAAGGTAACATTTATATAAGACTTTACATATATTTTCTCATTTGATCCTCACAACAATTCTGTGAGATAGGTTGTGAGAGATCAGGTTGTCTGCTGGGGTCATGCAGTTAGTAAGGGTATGAGGCAGTATTCATACGAAGGTCTTCCTAACTCTAAGTCCATCACTCTAACCACTGAACCACTGTACCACTGGGTCAAGAGGAAAATCGGGCCAAGAAAATAGGAATCAGTTACAACTGTATATACTAGGATGGAGAAGAATCACCAAAATAGAAAACATTGAAAGAGAATCCCACAAAGGGAAGGTTTTCTATCATATCCAAATTTCTGCTTTATTTAGTATGTATATGTTTTTAATTTAAATAGTATCATACATAAAGTTATATCCATGGATAAAGGTCCAAGAGAAATTTATGAGCAAAGAAAAGCTGTTCATTTTGAAAGCTGTTTGTGTGATAAGGTGGCTTCTGGCATGATTTTTTTGTAGAGAAGCCATTTTACTTGCACGTTTTGTTTTCTTTGTTGAAGTAAACCTCTTGGACTTAATATACAGTGGATACTCAAACATGACAGAATATGCCACAGAACAAACTCTCACCAGTATGGGGCTCCACCATGCTTTTAGGTATGACCATGATCTCACAATGACACTGCCAGGGCCAGATTCCACGATATTACGGGACAATCCCCAAAACATAGTTTTACTTTGAATTTAAATCTCCTTCCCAAAGAAACAATAAAACAGAATTGGGAACATCTGGTGAAATGAGTTGTTTTGTATTTTATTACATCTCACTTTCCTCATACACTCTTTGATGAAAGTGCAGATGACAGTAAGTTGTTCATAGTAGAAGACAAAAGGAGGAAGAGCAAAGATCCAGGTTCAGTCATAAACTAGAAACTAGTCTTTGGATGACTGAGAGTGGACTTGATAGGAATATTCACTTGGAAATTCGCCTTGGATCACAGAGCCAACACCTTGTTTTTATAGAAAGTGTCACAGAACACTTAATGACTTCATTTCTATATCTCACATAATGGTGCCTCTAGCAACGCTAAACTAGAGCATTGGTATTTTCTTGACTCACAAAGAAGGACGTGTGCCGCCTACTTAATCATCCGCATCACTTCCTGGAACACCTGGATACTTTGTAGTATCAACGAGGGTTTCCAGGGGTGGGGAACCTGCATTCTTGAAGCCACATGTGGCCCTCTAGGTCCTCAAGTGAAGGAAAGGGCTGCAGTTGAGGACCTAAAGGGCCACATGTTCTCTTAGTTCCCCACCCCTGGAACCAACTAGTTACTACCATGCTCCTATGATTTTGTCAATAGATGAACAAACAATAGTGTTCTGCGAAAGGCAGCATTTTGTTTAATTATTAAATACCTCAACACCTCAGAGCATTGAAATTAACTGGGACCCACGTGAAAAGTGTATAAAATAGAGCCCAAAATTACCCATTTCTTTCCCACACAGTAATATGTTTTATAAAGGATGCCATTTGACTATGATTGGTGATTGACAGTTTCACATTGCTCAGTATAAGTATTTGTCAACTTGAGTGAATAATAGATTCCTAGATAGACTCACAGATTGTTAGAGCTGAAAAGGGTCTTAGATCACTTATCAAAGTTGAATGGCAAAGAGCAAGCATTAAAAGATTTTCAGGTATGAAAAACAGAATCTGAGGAATGGAAATGGAATACTTTAACCATTAACCAGTGACCTGCAGTCACTAGGCTGTTCTGCCTGTCTGGTTTTATGCGTATGGTATCCAGGAGGCGTTTCTGGATCTGTGTTGAAATGGGAGATTAAGAGCTGTAATTGTGTGTCTAAGAGAGGTTTTGTCATCTGTAGAGTGACGTTTTATCCCTCTTCTTCCCAATGTCTACTGGCCAGGGTGGTAGGGAAGAAGCAACAGTGATTTCTAGAACGGATGGGAGAATGCTTCCCCACATTCTGTGCTTTTTATACTGTATATAAGAAAAGCTGGAAGGCTGGCTGATTAAAGATTGTGGGAGGGCTCATAGAAAAAAGGGCAGATTTGTGGGTTAGCTCTACTCTCTGTGGTAAGGGAGATAAACAACCACTCCATTCAGATTCTCAAATCAGGAAGTGGCTGAAAAAGTCAGATGCAGAGCTGAACTTGAGAAAGGAGAAGTCTGTGGGATATATTGGTGAAGGAAGGGTAGGGTCACTGGCTTTACACTGGAGGAAAAAAAATGCTGTTGGGTTGACACAGTGCCTTGCACCTAAGTAAACATATAAGTGGTGCTCAACAAATGCTTGTCAAATGCCTAAGTTGAATTGCTGGCAGGTGCTGGGTGGACCTGGCAGAATCTGGAGAAGGAAGTCTGGTAGTGGCAAAGAGAGAAAAGAAGAGAAAGAAGGAACAATATTGGAGTGGGACAGTAACCATTAAATCAGAGCCAGTGAATTGCTGGCCCAGAGATTGTTCCCAGACAAATGGAAATCTTGCATATAACAGATGGACAAATCAGCATGTTAGAAAAGTGCAAAATAGATAAGAGTTAGGAGACTCACAACTTTTTAGACTTGTAATTTTGAAGGGATCAACAGGAAAGACAAACCTTGAGAGTAAGAAGATTTATTACTTATGAGGAAGAGGTTACTCTGTGGTGACATACCAAAACCAGCACTTAAAATAATTGTATTCTTTCAGAGGAAGTCAGTCAGAGCTTTTTTTTTTTTAATTTGAAGAGCAAAGTTATATTTATATAGTAATCTTGTCCGGTGTACAAATGGATTTTTCTCTGCTCCTCTTCTCATGTGGGCAGCTATGCTCTTAGTTATATAGGGAAATGAGCTGCCTTGCACATGCTTACT